GCGGCGGTGGTGAGCGGGGAGGCGGCGGCTGGCTCCTCGGGTTGGCGGGGGGGAGTTCTCTTTCGCCCGGCCGGCGAGGCCGTCGTGGGCTCCGGCTCTTTCAGCAGATGGTCGCGCTGCTGAGGGGGGACGGGGAGTGCTGCAGGCAATCCCTGTAGTTGCGGAGGGGGGTTTTCACTGGCTTTCGTGCTTGTAAGGGAGCTGGTATCTTGCAGAAACTTGCCACGGAGGTTGCTAGCTTTAGTCCTGTGGGTTTTGGTTTTTTTTCAATTTATTTATTTCTGATGGTGCTTTGCTGCTTGAATACAAAGTCTGTAGCTGTGTGTCTGCAGTGTAATCCATGCAGTTAGAAAGTATTGCTTGGATAACTATCTTGTGTGTGCATGCTTATATTACAGGTAATAACTTTTTAGGACTAATGACTCATTTAGCGTAAGCCTTCTGTAACATTCAAGGGTCAAATCCATCTCAAATAGCTAAACCTACTGTAATGTGGAGTGTACAGTGTGCCTAGCGTACTCGCAATGTTGTTAACCAATAAAGAATTTGATATGTGACTTTTAAAGCCTGTTCTCTAACAGGGAAATACCTAAATATTTAAGTGATGCATTCTTTTATTGAACCTTGGCTTTTGATTTTATTTCAGTCACACTGCTAATTAAAAGCAATCAAACTTGCTTCTGACTTTTGCAAAGAGTTTGTGGATGCATTGCTCTACTAACCCCTAACCCAGTGTCCTTCAGGGGTAGCATCGCCTCTGTCATCTTAATGATGTTCGGGGAACAACAATGTATATTTGATAAGGCCCATTTCTTTCTAGTAGAATTGAAGACCTCAATTTATTCTATAATGAGGGCTGGACTTCATTTTTAAGTAGTCTGCCAATTGAATTGCCAGTTGCCAATGGAATTCTTCTAAGGAGATGCTTACTATTTTTATCAGTGCAGGGAAGAATTTCTGAGAAGAAGCAAAACAGGAATTCAGAAAACGAGACCGTAGAGGAGAAAAGGTGAAGTTGCTGATATGCCTTGGATTTTTTTTTTTTGAGGTAAGCTCTGCCACTCTGTTTTAATTTCTTCCTGTAAGTATGGAAAGCTAGAAGGAGGGATGCTAGGTAGAAGTAAGTGGAAGGATTCGGATGGTTAGCTTAGCCTAAATAGCAGGAAAGGAGACTAGTAAGCCTTTCAGAGTTACAAACCTCGATAGTGCTATGTGAGGCCTTTACCTTGGGATCTCTCAGAGGAACAGTGTGCTATAAAATTTCTGCATTAGGGTATCCTACACATATATCAAAACTTCAGCTAATATTAGTAAATCTGTGTATGAATTGAAAACTTTGTTTGGCTGTGCTTGCATACTTCTACATTGTGTCAGTGCCCCAGAATTGCATAGGAAAACTGAGTAGCCTTCCTTGCCTAGGCAGAGTGAAATACAAAACAAACAAAAGTACAGATATATATTTTAAGGGTTTTTTTCAGTGTCGTGGGATTTGTGATAGATGAATGTTTGTTTTGATGTGTTGAGGGGAAAAAAGTTAACTCTATTTTCATCTTTGATAAGTTTCTCAAAAGCAAAGATGCTGTGTGTGGCTGATTAGTGGGGAAACTGATCTTGGCTTTGTCTCCCTTAATTAAATGATCTGCCATTAATCACAGCAGGACAGGAATATGAGCGACTTGGAGCTGGAAGCGGCCAGCCTCTGGCACAGTGCTGTAGCCATGTAGCTCTGCTGCTTTCATATTGAAAAAGCTCGCATAGTCTGTGCCAGTGGGTCCTGATCTCTGTCTGTACTGTGCTCTTTTTGGCAACGTAGTGGGTGCCCTTACTTGCCTTTTCTTTGTGTGGGTTTTTTTTTTTACATCAGTGGTGTTCTCTGCAGTGGTCTAAAGAGTAAGATGGATTTCTGTGGGCTTATTTGTTGAGTATTTGAAATTGTGTGCTTTGAGCTCCTGGGGGTTTTTTATTGTATTGAGTGTCAGAAGACTGAAGACCCAGGTTAACTGCTTCCGAAGTAAAGATGACAAAAGGAAAACCAGGGCTGCAGCAACTATTTGGGCATGCTCAGTGTCTGCTACTTCTGTTAACTTCATTTGGATGCTGGATTATTGGCACTTCTAGAGGAAGTGGCCGAAGAATGTTTATCTTTACAAAAGGTGGTGCTAAGTAACTGGTGTATTGGCGATGTTTTCCAGCTGGGCAGTACAAATGAATAAACAAAATAACAGGGAATGGAAGTGCCAAGGGAAATAGTTTCAGGTGCAGTTATTCCACAAAATTAATTGGCAAAAAGATAACTGTAGAATCCAATGTTTAGGAGGATATTATAGAAAATGGGGAATGGAAAGTATTTATATTATGAGGAAGGGGAAAGATAAGCTGTGGAGAGACCTACCTGGCTTTGCAAAGGGCAATCTTGTGTGGGCTGGACTAGTCTGGTTTTGCAGTTCTTATCTCTTTTCTAAGATAATTGGATTACTTTAGCATTTTGCAAAGCATATGCCATAGTTAATTATGATTTGCGGCCACTTTGACAAATTCACTCAATTGACCTCTAAGTTAGAGCAGCCTTTTTCACTGTAAAAGGCCTTAGGCACCTGATTATACTATTTCCATATAACATTCACAAGGATGAATATTGTGAACAGTGGTAGCAGAAATAGGCCTTAAAGTATGTGCCTCTATTTTCTGTACAGGTATACCAGCCCATGTTAATGTTGATGGGGGGGGCGGCGGGGCAGGACACAGAAGTTTGGTAATGACTGTCCTAAAGTTCCATTTGATTGCAGGGTGTAGTCAAAGTAATTCAGCTTGGTAAGAATCATTGGAGGCTATTCACTGCAGTGCTCCTTAAAATCATGCCTGGGAGACAAACTACGTTAACCTTGCATGCTGATGATAGCGGTGGCCCAAATATGTAGTGGAGACATTGATTTGAACCCAGATGCCTTTGTGCAGTATTACTGACTGACTTCTGATTGTCAAAGATATTAAATGCTTTTACCCTTAGCAGGTTTGGAAGGTCCATCTTAAATGGACAAGGCACAAAGTTTTATTAAATGTTAGCATGTATAAATATATAACAGATGTAGTTATAGAAGCATTAAATCATTGTCTTATTTCACAGAAAGAAAAATCAATAATGTCAGCACTAAACTGGAAGCCCTTTATCTATGGAGGTTTAGCATCAATCACTGCAGAATGTGGTAAGGTTTTCCTTTAACTGTTCACATGATTTCTTTTACCCAGAAAATCCCTTCCAAAACAAGCTTGGTTCCATGCTGTCTGTGACACAGTAGCATATGGTGGTCTACAGAATAGGAGTTTTTTTTCTTTAATGCTGACTGAAGAGTTGCTCAGGACTCTGTTACAATGTCAGAACACTTCTGTCTGTAAACTGATGTCCCATATAAGTCTTTGGTTTTTTTGTTGGTTGTTGTGGTTTTTTTTAGTGTGGGTTTTGTGGTTTTTTTTGGGGGGGTTGTTTTTTGGTTTTTGTTTTTTTTATGAACTTTGCCTTTGGATTCTGGTATTTGCTGTTTGTTGATGTGTTCCTAGACAGTGGTCATAAGTATACACAGCTTTTGTTTTTCTCTCATAGACAAGTTAAGCTCAGCTTGTAAAATTTTTCTTTTTTCTCAGTAGCTGTGTTGCAGTTTAAATTCTCTTTTCTTGAATGCAAGTGGCTGATTAGATTTGAACACTTAGATTCAGTTAGCGTGCAACATGGAATAATTGCTATAGTGAGATGGTGTATCTGATGTTTTAGTGCCTACTCTAAAGACAAACCTAAAATACTAACATCCTTTTAAAGTCTTACCTGAAATGCATGTACATGACTATAAAGGACATCTGTTTTTTCATAGTAGCAGAGCGTAGTCTGACATGGTGGGCTTGCATGTGAAGTCTGTCTAATAACATAGATGTAGTATAAAATTACACTTAAAACTATTTTGTTTTTCTATTCTACCTTCTCATATGAATCCTGTTAAAACTTGAGTTTGAAACCTCTCTTCTATGACTTGACTTAACATGGTCAATAATACCAAAAGCTTTGTGTGGAAGACAAGCAATTCATAAAAGCCTTGCTTGTCTGGTAAATTGTGTTAGAACAGATGTAGTTAATACTGACTGCTGTTAGTGTTTAGGTGAGTATTGAATGTTGAGCTGGTCTGTTTTCTAAAGATAAGGTCTGGAAGAATAATCTTTCTGAACCCTTTCATAAAGGGAGGATGGAGAGTATGAACTTGACATAGCAGTAGGCTACGGAAAGTAGTAACAGAAATGGATACTGCTGCTACTGCTTTTTTAGATTCTAGACTTGAATCTGTATAGCTTGTCCTATGGGATTTCTTTCTTTGCTTTCAAAGAAATGCTCTTCGAAGATGTTGGTAGAATACACACCCAAACTCTACTTGATTGTGATTGCAGAGTCCTGTTCAGTGTGGCTGTCTACAACCAGGCAATACCATGTTGCCTGAAAATATAGTGGATGCAAAATGTAAACATGAGAAGTAGGTAGGGCTTCTGACAAGCTTTTAGAAGCAGCAGGGTGATATAAAATGAACCACTGGTTTAGAAGAAAGTCTTGGTAAGGGAGACTTTCTTCCCTGGGAGTGTTTTTATATGTTTTAGTATATAATGAACACTGTTGTTTCTTATATCATGTTCTTTGTTGTCTTTGGTTAGGTAAGTACTTGATTAATTTTCTCTCTGATTTTTCTTCAAGGTACTTTCCCCATTGATCTGACCAAAACACGTCTGCAGGTTCAAGGTCAAGTTAATGATGCCAAATATAAAGAGATACGCTACCGTGGAATGGTGCATGCGCTAGTCAGAATATGCAGAGAAGAAGGATTGAAAGCCTTATACTCTGGGTAAAATTAACTGACTTGCAGTAATGGTTTATGAACAGTATATTGATAAGTATAAGCCCATAGAGTGTGAATTCCTGGGCCTCTGATTTACAAGGTGTTTGGTTAGCTTCAATTAATCTGGAAGTTGATTGCTTCAGTCTTTGCACTCTGCAATAGCATTTCATGTTTTCTAAAAAAAACTTGAAAAAAAACCCCAGCTAAGCCTAAAGTTATTCTATACCATGCTGCTATGGCTGTTCTGTTTCAGAAGAAAAACTGAATTAACCTTTGTGTATAAATGGCATACTTATCTTTAAAACATGCAGGATGGTGGGGGAAAGATGTAATCTGCAGATTATGTTTCAGACAAGCTTGCCAGTTACAGATCACAAGTTGAGGTATGCTCTAATAATAATCCTTCCACAGTTTATTCATGTTCTTGCAGGCTTTAGTTAAAAAAAACAACACCCAAACAACAACAACAATAATTCCCCCCTCCCCACCCCCAAAAAAAACCAACCACCCAACCGAAAACAAAAACAACCCCAACCCAAAACAAAAACCAGGAGAGCTTGTTTCGTCTATAGTGAATTTAAATTGTTGATTTAAATGAACAAACCTTCCTCTGGTAGGTATCTTGTGTTCAGTCTCTCCTGCTCTAAAAAGTATTTGCTAATCAGTCTTTTGCAATTTTGAGCATAAATATTATCACTGCCTATTTTTACAGGATTGCACCTGCAATGTTACGGCAAGCTTCATATGGAACTATAAAAATAGGCACTTACCAGAGCTTTAAAAGAATGTTTGTTGAGCATCCAGAAGGTGAGTGGGTTTTTTCAATTTAATTGAGGACTGTTTTGCTTGAAGCTGGTTGTTTCCATTTCATATCTTACTGTAGTGGTTTGAACCAAGGCTACTGCTAAGACATTCCTTGTACCAATTACAGCAAAGTGAGTCGGCAAGGAAAACTTGTCAGAGCAGTTTTTAAGGCTTCTGTAATTGGCACTCTCTCTGGTTAAAGAAGGGGTGGCATCATCCTGCCCTTAGGCATATTAAGCTTTGTAAATCTGCAGCTAAACTCTTTTTCTTTGTTTATGGAATAGATGAAACCCTGATGATAAATGTTCTATGTGGCATTCTTTCGGGAGTAATCTCATCATCTATTGCTAACCCTACAGATGTCTTAAAGGTAATTATGTGTTACGTAGACTTTGTCCTTGGTTTTTGTCCTCTCCTTGAGGAAATGCAGAATCTCCTGATGAATATAGGATTTGTTGTTTTGTAACCCTATTTATTCTCATCTCAACTTTTAAAAATCAGTAATGTCCTGAATTCTTGGAATGGCCTTCTGGTCTATACTGATTATTTGGAAGTATGCACCAGGAAACTGATGGCTGGGGAGGTAGTTGGATCCATATAGCTTTTTCTGGGGGTGGGGAGAGAATAATTTAAGATGACTCTTTTTAACTTCCATGCTGTAGTGTTTGTGTGGAAGCCACACTGTATATTTCATCTATACTTTTTGGTAACACTTGCACTAGGATGCTTCTAGAGCTCAAAATAGGTGAAGATCAATTCAGAGGCAAGAGTTTCAGTGAGTGCTACTTGTACTGTGTGATTCTCTAATCCTGTAGAGAGGCTTTGCAATCCAGTGTCCCATGGAAAAAGTGTTCCAGCATCAGTCAAAGTGAATTGGTGAAGGATCACCTCTTTAAGAAGCTGTTAGCTTAATGATAGTCAATGACCTCCTTTTCCAGTTATTTAGAAGGGTTGATGGTATTTAACTTGCAAAACTGTAGCATGTAACTTACATGACTGCCTCTAATGAAAAATTCAAGAAAACTCTTTCTGTTCTTCTAAAACTACTAAAATCTTTATGCTTCATAGGGCTAGTGTGGTTATGTAGAGGCATTTCAAATATAAGCTTCTATTTCAAGTGTAGCTTCAATTAGTTATTTCCCAAAATTATGTCCCCGTACCAACTTGCCTGTCACCAAACTTGTATTTGGTGATTACCATGGCAGGTTCCCAAGGACATTCTTGGGAAGTACTCAAGGTCAAAGACCATGGATCTCACTAGCTGAAACATTAATCTTTTTAACCTTTCATTTTCACATGTTCCTGTGAGAACACTGTGAAGAACATCCTGCAGAACCCATCTGTCAGTCTAATCTAAATGGAGTAGCGTACAAATACAGAAATAGAAGTGACTTAATGCAGTTAAGAACTACACCACGTACTCGTTCAAAATTAGCAGCTGCATTTGGATAGTTAAGGCGCTTCGAAAGATTGCATCATGGTTATGATAATGTCAGCTCTTAATCTGTAGTCAAACAGAAGTTGACTTTACTACCTAAAAGATTGTAACTTCAAATGTTAATGAAACTGTATTAAACTATTATGGGTTGTATGTTTGAAAAGTATTTATTTTCTAATTTTATCTTCAAATGAATTTCAGATCAGAATGCAAGCCCAAGGTAGTGTGATTCAAGGAGGAATGATGGGCAACTTCATACAGATTTACCAAAAGGAAGGCACTAAAGGATTATGGAAGGTAAGTTTTTTTTGAACTATATTCTACGCTTCAAGTACGCTTTCTTGCTCAACTGAATTTCACGTACTTCTACAGTATTCTCAGCCAAAATACGGAGAAGTCAGTAGCTAATATGTGTGTAATTTGTCATGACTACTTCACTGCTGGTGTCTCAGTGCATTTTGACAAAGAGTTACTGCCACTGTTACGTTCAAGGATTCGCCACTTTTTAAAAAAAAGGGAAACAAATGGAAGCTTAAATTATGGTGACTGGCTCTAGGATCAGTTCAGCAACCCTTTGCAAGGCACTTCTCTGTCTGCTCTGTTCTTTTTAAAAGATACCTTTACTTCCAAATGTTCTTTAGTGTATTAATGAACATCCCCTCTAGCTCAGGAATTCTTGTACTCAGTCTTGTACGTTGTCTCTTATGCCAGTTACAGTCAGTGACTGTAATAACTGAAGACCAAGAATGGACAATTGTTCTGAAACAGCTGGAAAATAGAAATGCTTTTCTATTGATGTGCTTTTCTCTGCAAAGTTTCTTGATTTCCATTTTTTCTGTTCGTCTTCCTTTGTCAGTTTTTCAGTTAGCAGTGAGGGGAGCCAGTATCACCTGGTTGTTGAGGTCTTAGCTGACTGTTGATGTAAGAATTCAGATGTTAAGCAGAGATGGGATGGCATAAAGGAACTGAAATTGCCATTCAGTGTGGAAAAGTGATTTTGAATTTGCATTTTTGGAGCACATATGCGTAAGACTTTTACTAATTAGTCTTATTTGAATTTACAATGTTCTTAACGCATTCGTGGTGTGTTGCTTTGTATTGTAAAAGCTAGGTTTTTCTGATGGTGCACAAAAGTTCAATTTTAAATTTCAACTATATCCTTTCTTCTGACAGGGAGTATCACTGACAGCGCAGAGAGCTGCTATTGTTGTTGGAGTGGAACTGCCAGTGTATGACCTTACCAAGAAGCACATAATTATGTCTGGATTTATGGGAGATACAGTATATACTCACTTCCTGTAAGTTTGAATAATGATAACTGTTTGCATAGCTCATCATTGGTTAGTTCTCATTATGAGGGATTTTTCTGTAATTATTCTAGATGTAAATATACTTCTGATGTGTTTATACTTTTTAATGCAATAGCATCTCAACTGGTAGCACATGGCATGGAAGCTAATTTTATGTAGGACTTGGATTTAACTTTCTTTTGAATATAGAATTTTGTTTTGTGGATGGTCTGAGTCATTCAGCTTTGCAAATTGAGGTTAGAGGAAAGTTCCAATCAAATATTTGCTATTTTCAGAGGCACAAACGTTTCTTCAGGTATACCAAAATTGTATGTAAGGGCTGTATATCAAATCTTCAAAATGATGCTTTATAGTAAATAAAAATAATTTTTCACATGTATTAGCTGGTGTAACTGTGGTTTAACCCCAGCCAGGAACTAAGCACCATGCAGCTGCTCACTCACTTTTTCCCCCACCCAGCAGGATGGGGGAGAAAATTGGGAAGAGAAGTGAAACTCATGGGTTGAGTTAAGAACAGTTTAATAGAACAGAAAAGAAGAAACTACTTTTGATAATGATAACACTAATAAAATGGCAACAGTAATAATAAAAGGATCGGAATATACAAATGATGCGCAGTGCAATTGCTCACCACCCGCTGATTGACGCCCAGTTAGTCCCTGAGTGGCGATCCCCCCACTCCCCCCAGTTTATATACTGGACGTGACATCCCATGGTATGGAATACCCCTTTGGCCAGTTTGGGTCAGCTGTCCTGGCTGTGTCCCCTCCCAAATGCTTGTGCCCCTCCAGCCTTCTTGCTGGCTGGGCATGAGAAGCTGAAAAATCCTTGACTTAGTCTAAACATTACTTAACACACTGATGTTTTCAGTTGTTGCTATCAACATTCTTCTCATACTGAACCCAAACCATAGCACTGTACCAGCTACTAGGAAGACAACTCTCTCCCAGCTGAAACCAGGACAGTTCCTTTTAACTAAAAGCAGTAGTCACTCATTATTACTGTATGTTCTCTGGGGAGGGGGAATTCTTGTGCACCTTTAAATGTGCTAGGTCAAATTGCATTAAACCTTTCTTTTATTAGCTCAAGTTTTACTTGTGGATTAGCTGGAGCTGTTGCATCCAACCCAATTGATGTTGTGAGAACACGCATGATGAATCAGAGAAGCCAACATGGAGGACCCTCAAACTATAAGGGTACTTTGGATTGCTTGTTACAAGTAAGTAGTTCATGTATCAGCATAAGTAGAAACTGGTGCCATCAAGCAGTGATTTTGGAACAATTTGAGGTTCTACACCAAGTTACCTGGATTAACTTTTAAGGAAACTTAAATGTGCTTTTTGCCCTTATGCTCAGAAGGACTGTACTGCCAGTAATGCAGTTGGTGTGAAAATTATCTACTGTCTTGACAGAAGGGCAGGAAGAAAGTTAGCTTGTGCTGCAGGCACTTACTTCCTTTTGGTACTTGGATGAGTAGACTAAGTCTCTCAGCAGCACTGTCTCTTACTTAACTTTTTATGATGTTAGGATATTGATAGGAAACGGTAATTTCATAGGTCAGTTCTTAAAGAACAGCATCTTCCAGGGCAGATGCTTTTCTCTGTTGCTTACTGCATAATAGGAAGCCTAGTACAGCCAAAGGCAATGTCAGTCTCTGATTTTGGCTTGGTTTCTTCAATCCTAAATTGGGTATGAGGTAGGAGCATGATGGCCTTTTACATGGGGAATAGTGGGTAGGAAGCTGCTGTTGACTGAACAGTCCAGTTTAACAGTCCAAGTCACACTGTCCAGTGCAATTTTGTGAAGTCCATAAAGCAAACTGAAAAATTTCAAGGGGATGCCTAACATGAACTGCAGGTTTACATGCTGCTCTCTGCAAGGTTTTTGAAAATAAACAAGTCCAGGAATGCAATTAGGATGAATCTGGGTTGGGTACTAAATGACATGGACTATGTCTTTACCTGCCAGGTAATGATGCAGGCATTACTAATCTTGGCTTTATCTAGTGAAACGTGTCCTTGTCCCATCATATAATATATTTAAATCAAGGTTACAGCACTAAGTAGTCCCCTTCAGTGGTATAGAATCTTGTTAGCTGAGCTGCTCTTTAGATTTCTCACTAATAAAGAATTACATAAGTGTGTTCTTGCGGTGTGTTTTTTTTTCCAGACATGGAAGAATGAAGGCTTTTTTGCTCTGTATAAAGGGTTTTGGCCAAACTGGTTAAGACTTGGTCCTTGGAATATCATTGTATCCTTTTTCAAAGGTGTGCAAAACTATTAAGCTAGCCATACAACAGCAAGTACTGACAGACAGTTTCACAGAGTGCTCTGTGGAAAGTGTCATGTCAGCACAAATATTCCCATTTTATAAATGGAACATGGTGTAGTTGACCACTTTCTTGTCAACTGCTGCTAGTCAGATTGAATTTGTGATTCACACAGTGAATATTAGAATGTCATCTTGCAAAACACTTTTCTGTTCCTCCAATTTCATACCTGTCCATTTCCTTAGTTTGGAGCCTAGTTTTAAATGAAATTGACCAGATGAGTTAGAAATGGGGGCTACTTCTAGAACTAGGGAAACTGCTGGCAGTTAGCCATGAAGTCTTTTTCTATTTATCTTAGTCTCACACAACTTGGTTTGTGTTTCAAGAGCCAGCTGATTGGAACCCTGGGAAGTGGGTTGGTAGTAATTTTTTTTTTTATCATGAGCAAATCTACTTTAGCTTATCAAAGCTAAGTGAGTGAAGTCTCTGAGGGCTTTTGTAGTACTCTCCTGTCAGTCCTGTGTTTAAGATCCTGAGGAACAGGGATGGGAATGCAGGTGGCATCACCAGCCTTAAAGCTTTTGATGTACACGAGTGCCCTGAAGCAAGTTTTACTGTTCTGCATAACAAAAATGGTCAACCAGCACCATTACATAGGAGGGAACTAAGAAGAGCAAAATTTCACACAGATGCTGCTGTCCTTTAGAAGTGAAGTGACCATTTTGCACTGCGTGAACAGGAAACAGTTTTCCTTAATCAGCTGTTGCAGTTCTTTTTGACATATGAACAGCTGAAGAAATTAGACTGCTGACATGCTGAACTGTATACTGATTTCTGTTAATGTACAGTTTGAGTTCAGAGCAACTTGTAAGTTACCCTGAGTATCTGCTCTTTATTGTCTGAGATGCTGGCCAAAGGAAGAGGTCATTACAAGACTGTCGTGAATGAGAACAACCTGGAAGTGATTTCAAGGCAAACTGGCTCCTGTAACAATGGCTTGCTCACATGATTCAGTGGATGCTGTGCAGTATTTTCTAGACTGAACCAAATGTGGGGGAATACCTTCTGTCAACTGTTTTAAGTTGTCTTGAATGTGAAGATGTGTAGTGCAACTTTATGCTGTTGAGACTCAGATGCATGGTGTTTAGAGGTGTAAGAGACAGAGAACAATCTTTCTGTAAAGGAAGATAGGTAGTTCCAAGGAGGTGGGCTTCTCCTGTTTTCAGATGCATATACAATTTGACTGTAATAGCTTCTAATGAACTGAAAGTGTCACATGACATCTTTGCAGGCTTTCAGTTCAGCAAAATACCTGTTGCAATACAAAAATCTGCTTCTGGTTTTGGAGCTTTCCTGTGATCCAAGTCCTTAGAAGTCTGCATAATTTGCTGGGAATTACCCAGCTTCATTTGAAAGTGTGGTTGCTGCAGTTGTCAGTTTTGCGTAGCTTGAGGAAAGTTTTTTCCAATGTATCATTCTTGATTTTTGCCATAAGTGATTCTTCAGCATATTCATATGTAAATTGCAAGTAGGAATGATGTTCAAACAAGTCCATGCTCATCTGCCTGTCTTGCAGAGAAACTTCCCATGCTTCTTCCATTGTTGGGAAGAACTACCTGTAATGGTTACTGGCTGTTACGTGTCATCTGAAAGATGCAAGTTTTATCCTGAGCAGCTCAGGCTGTGTCACGTAGGTGCCTGTGTGAAAAGAACCAAGCCCCTCCAAAGGTTATGTCCTCTATAAAGGCTGTTTTCCTCCTTTAAAAAGACACCAAACCCAGAACTATGGGGCAGTCTCATATAGCAGACAGGCCCAGGTTGCTGTTACATGCAGGGAAACACTTTGTATAGAAATCAACTTCAAGTTTCTTTAAGCATTACTTTTTAGTGAAATGTATACCAAAACTTCAGGGCCATTATCTAAAGTTACATCAAGGTTCTTATTAAATGCTGTTGTTGAATTCCAGGAAAGGCAGCGGGTGAGATGCAAGTCATAGAGTGGTCCTTCTGTGTTCACTGAGGGTGGCAAAGCAGGATGCGTAGCTCTGCATTTTTGTGGCATTGTGTTAATCTCTTAAATGTTTTTGGTTAATCATGCATTCCACTTAAATGTCACTGTGATTTCAAAATTGCTATAATCACTTAAGACTACTGATTTTGAGTTCACAAATGGATTTTTAAATGCACAAGGCACTTTCTTTCCTAAGGCACAATGTTTTTCTATGTATATGGGTATGCTTATGTGCAGCGTTTTTCCTTACAGGTGTTTCTATGCATTAATAGAAGTATTTGTAAATATTTTTTGTACACTGTGTAAACTAAGTGTATGTTTTACATTTTTTAAGCTTATTAAAAGTTTTAAAATCCTTACGTAGTGACTCTGAACTGCTTTAAGTTTCAAGGTAGGGGAAGAGGGGCGAGTTTCCAAATACTGCAAGGTGATTGAAGAAGGAAAGCCGTTGCTGGCATTGAACTGTATGATGTTGGTTATTTAGGCAAGGTGGACTGAAGTTGTAGTTAAAAGCTTATGTTTCTGTATCTTACTACCCCAGTAACAGGTGTTAAGCACATGTATGCGGCTCTGAGGGGATGAGGAACGGGGCGGGAGCGTGCCCCACCAGTTCCTCCGTGGGGGAAGCCGGAGGGGCACTGGTGGACGATGTGGAGTGTGAAACGGACTGCCAAGCAGGGAGGGAGTGGGAGTTCGGGATCTGAGGTGGAGGCGGCTGCCGCAGCGAACACCCGCCTCCCTCCAGCGGTTTTCCGAACTCTCGGAATTCAGACGTGCCTTAGGATTTAGTTTAATGGCAAAAGACTCGGTTTTGGTAAGCGTAACAGCCCACCCGAGGTCCCGAAGGCCGGTTTCCACGGGGAACCGCGAACTCTGCGGCACGGTGGGGAAGGCAGCTCCGGTGCCCGCCGTCAAAATGGCGGGCCGCCGCCC